CTCGCCTATTTCTCCGTGAAGATCTTGGGCCTGATCATGATCTGCACAGACTGCAGCGTGTAGCCCGGCCCCTGCCACTCGTCCCAGAATATGCCATATTCGGAGTTATCGTAGTACTCATCGCGCATGGTGTAACGTCCGTTGAGATTGCTGAAAGCGAAATCGATTGAGAAAGAGAGAGACACACAGAGAGAGAGAGAATCGAGATAAGCCAATGGATCAGGCAACCAACCTTAGGCCGCAGTTGTTGTACCACCAGCCACCCAAGCAGGTCTCGGCGCAGTTAAATTCGCTCTGGTCGTTGTCCCTGTCGAAGGTGGTGAACTTTTGGTGCTCATTATCGCGCATCGAGTCACCGGCGTTGCCCGAGTACTCGCCCAGCTCACTCAGCGCGTACGCCTCGCTCTCGCCGGCGACGACGATCTTGTCATAGTAGGCGTGGCTGCTCTCATTGTTGAAGTCGGTGAGGTGCACATAGAGCTCGTGCGGCTGCGACGCTGTCAGACGATGCAGCTTCTCCAGCCCAATGAAGAATTCACCGCTTAGATTGCCGAAGCCCTCGCGGTATTCCAGCCAATTGCGATTGAATTCCACGCTCCCATCGATTCGACGCTGCACAACGGTCCAGCCGGGGCCAGCCAAGCTGGAGTCGCAGGCCACTGGGAAGGCATCTCCCTGATCCACCTTGATGACATGCACTCCATTTGAGCCTGGGAATGCCGCACAGCTGTTGGCCTCGAATTCCTGTTTCGTTGTCGTCTCGAACTCCTCCAAATTGTTTTTCAGCCGCTCGGCGATTTCTTTGGCTTTCGTTTCCATGTTGAGAATTATCTGCGACTTGACAGCGGCGTCGTCAGTCAGCATCTGGATTTGCTTGGCCTGCTCGTTGATGATGGTCGTGAAGGTGGCCATGGTCGCCAGTCCCTCATTTATCTGCCGATCCTTCTCCTCCAGCTGCAGCGCTGTCACCTCATTGGCCTTCCTCTGCAGCTCCGTGATTTGCTCGGAGTAGATCTTGTTGAGCACCTCCAGGGCCGACTTCTCCTCGCGGCAGCTGTTCAGCTCGTCGCTGATTTTGATCCTGAGGTCTTGCAGTGTCGACTGCTTCTCCTTGAGGATGGCTTCCTCGATTTTACTCTTATATTTCGCCTGCAACTTTTCTATTTCGTGGTACGAGCTCTTCAGCTGATTTTGTATTCGCAAAATTTCCAATAAATTCGCCTGTGTTGCTATAATATTTAGCACTATTATAAGTAGTAGAGTACATAATTTGTTCGTCATATTTGCTTCGCACTCGCCACTGACAACCGTCGCTCGGATCGCACAACACAAAACTAAACAACGAAATGCCCAACTCAGCCATCAAGAGAATATAAACATCTACGCAATCTTATTGTTAGAACACAATGTATATAGGAATATATATTACACATGGTATTTATTTACTTTTGCTGCTGCCGATAAGAGAATATTAAATGAGTGAGAGGGAGGCGGGAGAGGGGGAGCTTGAGCTATAGCACACTTTCACAGAGCTGGGCTCAAATGTCAAGCGTTATCAGTGTCTGAAATATTTGTACAAAATTAATTAGGGTGTAATTTACATCTGTTCTACTATTTTATTAATTGAGGGGAATGACAGCGCGATGTAGTAATGGAAGAAATGTAAAACGAATCTATTGTTCAATCCAATTAGCACACACACATTTGCCTGTCTATAAATTTAATTGAATATCTTCTTTAAATCTCAAACTCTACTTTCCAATCAGGATTACTCTATTCTCTATCCGCCACTGGCTGCTGGTTGGAATTTTATTTGCGCATAGTTAAGAGCAATTAGGTGTGCCCAGACCGCGGCCAGGCTGTGGGAAATGTTGCGGCAGCTCTGCTGATACAAGCCAGGTAATACAATCTTTAGCAACTACAGCTAAAATATAAATAAAGCAAGCCAAGCTCTCTGAGAACTTTTCATCTATATGCAGCTAAATCAATTTCAAAACTAATATCTTGCACCTGTTTGCACAAATATCCCAATTATTTAACTCACTCTGATGAGGCAGCGGCGTATCATAAACTAGCTATCGTTGGCAGCGATATCTATCGTCTATATATATGTATGTTTATATATGTATATATTTGTATAAGCCGCAGGACACACTAGTTTGCTGCTATCTGTTCCTGTTCCTGTTCATGATTAGTTTGTGGCACAAACTTTGCCCTGCACACTGGGACACTCGAAAGTGGTTTTTACAGCTGGCGCCATGCAGCAGGACTTTTCGGCTAACAACGGCTATATATTCGAATTTGCATTTTAATGAGTGACGCGGGCAACCGTAAATTTGAAAGTTTATGCGTTGTGGACCCACGAACAGGTATTTGACAGTTTATTGAAAGCCAACAGCAACCGCAACGAGGCGAGCTCCGTGGCAGCGCATGATATGCTTTGGCTGAAATATAAATACAGCTGAAAATCGCATATCTTCTGAAGTTATTGCCCCTATATAGCGTCTGGTTAAAGCGCTTGTCGTCGTTGCCATAAACAATTGAAGCAGAGCCGTGACTCTGGCTTAAATTTGAGCTTTGCTGTGGTTTCTCGTTGCCCTTTTAATCTTCTAACCACAGACTGAAATTGAAGTATGGCCGGTAGTTGTTTTTATTGCTGTTCGCTGTTGTTGTTGTAACTGGCAGTTGGTTGCTTTTGTTGTTAATTGCTTTCAGTTTCGTTGACGTGTTTTATTTATCGCCCTACCCCATGTTAAGCATTTGTATTCGGTCAAATAAATTCCCAGTTGACGTGTATAAATGAAACACAACTAGTAGTTTGGCTACCCATACAAAATATGCCAACAATCGGATCGACCGACTGCAAAAAAGTAACTAAAAATACAGAGTGAAAGAGAAAAAATAGAAATTTCACAGTTCCTTTATAAAGTTCAACGACAGAAAAGTGCAGAAATTGAATATGCAGCTATCACTGCTCGGAAAAATGGAAGCTGAGTGAGAATCACTTTTGGCAGCGAACGAGAAACTGGAAATGAGAAACGTGTTCAAAAGGAAACTCAGAGAAATGAAGAGTTTGAAACTTTCAGATCTTAAAATTGGCACATATGCCAGTCTGAGTGCGCTAACTCTGTCTTATTGCATATGAGTTTCTTCATTCGCTTCCACTCAATAATTAAATAACTCATTTGCAGTTGTCTTGCTCTGCTTGCTGTCATGTCGAATCGAAATTGGCCTTTGGCTGCTTTGCGATGCACCGAGCTGTTAACCCATTCACTTGTGGCTTTGCTGTTCCATTCACATATTCAAACACGTGCGTCCTGCGTTGCACTCACTCCTTGTGCATTCATGCGTTGCATGACCAACTTTTGACTTTTGGCCAAAGTGAAGGCAAGATGCCCAACATGACACGCCCCTAAATTGATGTGCTTTGGCATTGTGCAACCTGTCAACAAGTTGGCCTTGCACATTATCCTGTTGTTGTCTTGAGTTAACTGCAATTATTGGCTGTGGACATAAGTCTGAGTAAATATGCTGATTATATCTATTATTATTATACTATTATACTATTATACTATTATACTATTATACTATTATACTATT